CTCTGTCACCATTCTGTTCTGAAAATGTTCGGGAGCTGACGCAATTCCAAATGGTAGTCATTTGAAGAAAAAATGTCTGAAAGGCTTGATGAAGGTTGTTAGTTTTGCTGAGTCTTCAGTCAGGGGAGTCTGCCAAAACCCCATGTTTGCATCCAACTTACTAAAAAGCAAGCTCCAGCAAGCAAGCTCCAGCCAGCATTCCAAGTGTTTCCTCCACTGATGGCAGGATAAACTTCTCCCGACATACTGACTCATTCAGTTTGGTGAGGTCAACACATATGCGTACTGCACCTGTTCTCTTGGGTACCACCACCATGCCGGCACACCAGTCTGTTGGCTCCTCAACTCTGCATATCACCCCGAGGCTTTCCATGCGAAACAGTTTCTGCTTGACTTTGTCCATCAGTGGCAAAGGAATCCTCCTAGGTGTTTTTAAAGAGTATGGTTGCGCCCCTGGTTTCAGTTTTGTGGCATATGGCTGACACACTTCTCCAAGACCTCTACATAGTTTTGGGCAAGACTCCTTTAATGTCTCTATAGTGACACTGTCTAGGCGCGCAACAAGCCCTAGCCTACAGCTCACAGGTCTTCCTAACAAAGCAGTGTGCAAATGTCGAACTACATAAGTATCCTCCATCACTTCTTTATCCCCTCTTCTCATAAGCAGCCTGGCGACACCCACAACATCAAGTGGACTCCCCCCTGGTCCAAGGAGTGGCTTTGTCATTTGTGTGAGCATGATTGGGTTGTTCATAAATATATTCTTGAACACGGTGTATGGCAGGACCGTGACATCAGCACATGTGTCAATTTTAAACATCACACTGTTGTCATGTATGGGGATGTCAACCATCCACGTACCACCCTCTGTTGTGATGCTGCCGTGGAAAATGGCATCCGTCTTCTCTCCTTCAACCTCATGCACACATCTTGGAGCCCTGCACACACAACTGTAGTGTCCTTTTCTGGTTCACGCGTGACATTTTGCTTCATGTGCAGGACAATCGTGTTTTGCGTGAGTTGGAGACTTGCCACATTTATGACATCTCAACTGAGGAGATTTTCCCTTGTTGTTCTGGGTATAGCTTGGCTTATTAGCATGTCATGTCTTGAAAGAATCGGAACCAGGAATCGATAGCAACCGGAATCGAGACAAGGATTTGGAACTGGAATTGTTCAAAATCATACGATGCCCAACCCTTCTTATAAGATTTCTTAATTATCACTAATAACCACTGTGGTTGCACAAGATTTCTGAAACTAATCTGTTTTTAAACACTGGATTTAACCAACTGTTGAATCTTACATTTGTGCACTGCTCAGTGTTAAAATCAAGCATTATAACAAGATTAATAAAAATTACCAATAAAATGACCGAGTATTAAATATACAAAACAGACAAAAAGAAATATCAGTTGATGATGTTTCAGAGCATTTATTAAGCAGATGTTTTATAGGGATGCACATTTATATGCAAGTAAAAATAAATGCACCTTTAGAATAGAAAGACAGATTCTACAGAAAAATGCACAACAGTGATGTAATAATAACAACCTGCTAAAACACACCAGCCGAAGCCGCCAGGCGTAACTCATTTTCTGGGGAAAACCCTGACAGATGTAGGATTTTCAAACACCAAAGAGAAACCTTACCTTTTACTCATTTCTTCATCTTCAATGCATTTCTTCATAGATTTTTATCGATTCGTTGTTGCAGCCCTAAATACTAAACTCATTTAGTCCCAACTAGGGTTGCAAGCGTTAATCGGTTTGACTAACCACGGTGTGAAACACTGCGGTTAACCCAATGTAAAAACGTCTCCAACACAGAAAAAAAGATTTTGCGAACTAGTGAAATGCACGCAGCAGAACCAGAGTCAACAACCACCGGGACTTCTCCATTTCCACAAAGGAAGTGCTTCAAGTTTCCTGTGAGGAGATAATTTAGACACCCAACCCCGCTAAAAAAATTCTGATTATATTCAAAAAGTTATGAACAAGTAGAAATGACATTTAAGTAATAAGTAATATTCACAATAACTGCACTAGTAGGAATTTAGCATTTTAAGTCATTAAGGTGTCTCCATCCTTCGGTGTTAACCCTGAGCAGATGTCAACAGTTAAATCTTTTTGTCTTTTTACAGAAACTCAAAAAAGGCTGTTAGGTAGGGCTGTAGCGAAGCCTCGACTACGTCGACGGCTCGATTCTAAAAATTTGTCGACGTCAGATCCGGAAGTCGACGCACCGCGCCCACTTGTTGCATCCCCAGGAGTTTGTAAATAGAGGAGGAATCTGCCTGTTTTTCCTCTAGCTCGCCCTCCTCTCCGCCTTCACTAACATCTCCGCCAAATACCGAAGACCCGGAACAACGTCCATCCACTACTAGATTATTTTCCTGTTTTGCCCGCCTTCGTCTCCCGGCAACGGACAACAACTTCCGGGGTCAGATGCGCTGCTTCGTGTCTATCGCAGATGTAGAAAATCACCGGGAGCGCTTCTCCCTTCATTAAGGAGCTTCTTTCAGACATGAGGAGAGCTGTTTTGGTGGTAGCAGTCTCTCCTCCGTGCTGGTCTGTTTGCTGCTGGGTGTTTTTGGTTTATTTAAACTTGGTAACTTGAACTTAACGTTGGTAAAGCTACTGTTAGCATCTTCGCTAACAGCTTCTTGCGTTGGGATAAGCTGTTAAGTTTTGGTTTAGAGTTCATCTTATTTGTGGTGTAGATCTCCCTTTTATTACATTTAGTGTTGTGGGTTTTCGGTTTAGTGTAAAATATCACCTTGAGTTTGGTTTAACCCGTAAGACCACTCGCCTCACGCACATAAGTGACCAAAACAAAGCAGCATGGAGACACTCCATCTTCTACCACCTCTCAGGCAGCAGCCTGCACTCCCAAGTTCTACACGTCACCAGAACATAACCAACCAACACAATAAAAGCAGTGTTATACAAAATGGAAGGCCTGTAGTGTTTATTCTCTTACAGTAAGAATTTATCAATTTTTTTGAGGAATTTATTTGAGATTTTCTGGTTTTTGTTAATTGTGCAATAGAAAAATAATCATTAGATTAATTTTCTAAATAGTCATTAGAATAGTCGACTATTCGATAAAATAATCGTCAGAATAATCGTTTTAAAAATAATCGTTTACCCCCAGCCCTACTGTTAGGCAAATAAAATTAAGGTGTGATTCATTGAAAACCCACCTGCATGTACAGTGATTCTCGCCTTTAACTGCTGGTGTAACGCATGCTCGTGGAATGTGACGTTGTGGCTACCCTCATCCATATGAAAAGCTATAGTGCTGTCGTTAGCTTAGCGTAGCTTTCACGGGTATAATTGCATTCGCCACTGGTCCGGCTCAACGGAACCAACAGAACCAGCTTCAGACGGGACGTCTGGAAATCGAAGAGAGCTCGCTCAAGAGCCGTTGTGTCTCGGCGGACGGATGATTAGAAAAGAGATCTCAACTCCGTTCGTCCTTGCGAGCCTGTTGTAGAGCCCTGAAAAGGACAGATAATGGCGTTGCGTATGTCACTACTACTTCTACTAACTACTACTACTACTTTTGCTAACTGCTACTACTACTACTTTTACTAACTACTACAACGTCTACTAACTACTACTATGTAGTGATCTGTAGTTTGTATATTTATACACTGTAATTAGATCTAGATATTATAATCAGAAGCAGTTGGTTTTATCATCAGGGAGTTTACTTAAACACTCTGTATTGACTGAGAGACAAGAAAAGAGAGAGTTGGGATAGTTTAAGAATCTTTAATTTTTATAATTATAAATTCTTACAATCTACCAGGACTAACTCCGTGATGGATGCATATGGATTTGGATGTTTCATGTTGGTGTGTGTGTGTGTGTGTGTGGTTCAGAATCTCTTGGCTGACGTAGGCGGATCTGGTTGTTATGACTACAAATCACGAGGCTTCAGAAGCTGATGACATGAGCAGCCATTTTGCCGTGACTACGTACCGTATGGAGCCTTCCGTGTTAGATCAGGAAATGCCAGGTCCTCGGACCTTCAGATGTACTGGAGCTGGTAGAACAGCGGTCACAGCACGACAAAGCCCGTCTGCGGATCGACTCCCAGTAGTAGCGGCAGGCGTCAGCGAGTTCAGCTCTTATTGTGAAGGGACGTCGTCTTGTTGTTCAAACGACGGAAATCTCCAGCTTGACAGTTCTCAGCTTAAAGTAGGAAAGTGCAGCTGGCCAGCCTGCACCTTTCTTAGCGATGACAAGGTGGAACTCCTTAGGAACTCAGATTGAACAGAACTGAGGTTAAAATGGAACTGGGTATAAAATGGCGTTGCCTTGTTTTATATCCCCTAGTCGTTTATAAATGTTAGTAAACCGGATTGGACAACTTCATTAAACAACCCAGATTCTGCCCTACGACAGACGAAAGTTCTGATTGGCTGAGAACAATGTGTCATGCGTTTCCATGTTAATGTAGATCAGTCTGTCTGGTGCAGTCCTGTTTATTCATTAAACACATAACTCATGACATCTTTATTTCACAGATCATTCACCTGATTATTATTGATCAACATATGTTTCGATTAGCTTTATAAAAAGTACTTTGATTAATTAAAAGCGTTCTTCTTCTCTTCTTCTGTCTCTTCTCCTGGAATGTAAACATTCAGACACCCGCACCCGACCTTGGCGATTCCTACACGTTGTTACTGTGTAAAGGGGCAGCTGTTAAGGGCAGACACTTATAATATTCATAACGCTACAACTACTTTTACTAACCACTACTAACTACTACTACTTTTACTAACTACTTCTACAACTAACTACTTCTACTTTTACTAACTACTACTAATTCTACTAACTACTACTACTACTTTTACTAACTACTACTACTTCTATTACTAACTACTACTACTTTACTAACTACTACTACTTTACTAACTACTACTACTACTAACTACTACTACTTTTACTTACTACTACTTTTACTAACTACTACTACTTTTACTAACTACTAATACTACTACTACTTTTACTAACTACTACTTCTAACTACTACAAATACTTCAACTAACTACTACTACTAACCACTACAACTACTTCAACGATGATGATCTCTGTAGCAAATAGTAGTAGTCAGTAATATAATTAGACAGCTAGAAGGACCAGTAATGATGCTGGTTCTGTTTAGAAATGTACTTTAACAATGCAATGTTAATATTGTTAACCTTGACATATTTTTTAACAAAAATCACCATTTCCCCCCATTGCTACCAATACTGACCTAAGGGAGTTGGTTTCTTCTGCAGCTGCTTGTGTATTTACCTACTTGGTCATCAGTCAATGATGCATAATTGATTTAATTAACTGATGTAAAACGTGGCAAATATCAGCAGACAGAGTAGTCTGACTTTTTCTTGGTCCACATATTTGTTGTTGGAGCATGCCACCAGCCCCATTCTCAGATCTGTTCTGTAGCGTGTTATTACATAGACATGATTACACCGTGAGCTTCACAAACATCCAAGAACATCTGCATCCCAAAAGGTTTCTCCTAGTTAGACTCAGCCAGCCCACGAGGCTGGTGTTCTCCCCCGGTTTGAATGATTGTCTAAAAGGCTGTTTTCATTCCTCTTCGTTAACAGGCCAAGCCTATCTATGCCGGATGGCTGTGCTTGGCCCCTGAGGGAACTGACTTTGACAATCCAATGCAAAGATCTCGGGTAAGTCTAAGGTGTGTGCGTGTGTGTGCGTGTGTGTGTGTGTTCAATCAGCTGCTCTCACAAACATGTTTGTATGTTTCTATAGGAAAGAAATTACTAGTTTTTCTGAAGTCTGAACATTTGGGGCTGAACGCTGCAGCACATTGACTTTTGCTTCATTTAGAAAGAGCAGTGTTTCTGTTTTTGACAGTTCCCATGAAATGCGGCTGCTCTGACATGCATCTGTTTCTGTTTCCAGAAATGGCAGCGGAGATTCTTTGTGCTGTACGAACATGGCTGCCTGCGCTTTGCCCTGGATGAGTCGGTGAGTTTTTCACGGTTTCAACTCTGAGTCTGTTGTTTGTTTTTGTCTGCGTCTCTTCACTGTGTGCAGGTTTCATTTCCTACATCAGACCCTAAACTACCTGAAATAAGTTATTGAAAGCCTCTAATTTTAAACCCTTCTATTAGGAGGTAATTCTGTGAATTTGACTTGTGAAAGCCTGCTGGTGGGTCCGTTGCGAGTCGGAGTATGTTGGAGCTTTTGTAATTCTTTTTGCTTCACAAAGTCTCAGCAAACACCATCATAGCTTTTGCTCTGCTAGCGCATTAGTCGTAGGAGTGTTATGACTAGGGATGTCCTGATCAGGTTTTTTTGCCCTCGAGTCCGAGTCATTTGATTTTGAGAATCTGCCGATACCGAGTCCCGATCCGATACTTTCGATACATAAAAAAAAAAAAAGAAAGGGAAGAAACGGTTCCAGAATGCTCCTTATTTTTTATTTAATTACCTTTTTATTTTAATTTTTAATAACAGATCACTTCTGTGAGGTAGCTTGAACAATCAAGTAATTAATAACATAAATTCTTCACTTTTGGACTTTATTGCAAATATAAAAAGTCTAATTGGGACATCCCTAGTTATGACCCAGTCCTTTTAGATGTTACCCTAAATAAACCACCTTTCCATAGCAAGACCAATCATGACATTGTGAGAGTTGGATTACTACCAGTCAACTAGTGTCTGAACCAAACTGAAGTTCTAACCAGCAGAACGACAAGTTTCATTTCTGTAATCAAATTAAAAGTTTGCTCTAAAACCAGGGACTGGTGCAGGCAGCATTTGCACCAGCCAGTAGGGTGAGCTGCTGTGTGAATGATGGCTTTAGGAAAACCAATTACCAAGTCTAAACAAAGGTTTTGGGAGCATAAACGCTAGTCTGGACCAACAGACACTGGTCTTTTTGTCGGGTGTTCAGGTTTACTCTGGTTCTTCAGGAAGTAAGAACAGCAGACGAAGAGATGCTCCTATCGTCCTTAGAGTCAATATGCTTGGACAGTGTTTTAATCGAAGGTTGGACAGTTCAGGTCTCTGCAACATCACGCACCTATAAGTGAGAGGAATTATTCACTTGAATACAACAAATAAGCATTGTAATTGGCCAGCATTATTTCAGTTAAAAGTGACAAATTCAATGGTTTATCGGGTAAGAGTGATTCTAATAAATAAAAATCGATCATTTCATACAGAATAAAAATGTGTGTGGGAGAAATAGGGCGTGATTAAAGTGCTTTACCACAGTAGCTTTTTTAATTATTCCGATTCTTTAAAAAATTCTAAATAAATCTGAATTTTGGTGATGATTTGTATAACTAGACTGGCCCACATCAGCGTAAACGAACCATGGAGTCGTAATAATTCTTCAACGTTACTCTGAGTCCATTATACTTAGTATCTTGCTCTACGGGTTTGTGGATTGTGCACGCCGCTGGCAGCAGATGGACTGATTGGGTTATGTTTGGTGGCACGGTGAAGCTGGCATCCCACACAGCTTTAATTTGAGCTCCGAGTCTTATTTCCTTTAATGCCGGAAGTTTTAGGCCAGTTTGTCCCTTAGCTGCAAGTGTTGGAAAGTATGAAGTGTTGCCCCGGCCCAGAGGCAAGGCACTCGTGTTGTAATCGCTGGTTTGAGCATTCGAGTCCCAACTTTTATATTAGCTCATTGGCTTAGTGGTATGAGTGTCCGCTCTGAGTCTGGGATTTGTGGGTCATACCAAAGACTGTAAAAATGGGACCCAATGCTACGGATTTCCCCAGTCCGATATTGTTATCGGATATCAGTCTAAAAACACTATTGAATTATATCAGACTGCATCAGAAATCTCCGATATTAGCAGTGTGTTCCGCTTTAAATTCCATTCCAGCAATTCTATCCAGCAGCGTTCAGATCCAGCATGATCAGAACGTGATCAGAACTGTGTGTGCTAGCAAAGTAGCAACGAACAATGTCGGCCATGTGGCTGTATTTTATTTTTATTCCGAAAAAGATCGTTTGGCTCTGTGCAACACTTGTCATGCCCAAGTTTCCGTGTGGTGGAACAGAACCAGGGAAGATGAATACGTCCATCCTCGTCGTGCATTTGAAGCAGGATCACAAAACACTGCATGAGGATTTTCACAATGTGTGAAATTGAAACTTTAGACACTCAACTTGTATCAGTTGGTCAGTGAACAATATTGTGTTTTTTTTTCCTTATGTCCCTAACCTCAGCTGTTCACATTTATGCAACCAAAGTTTAAAAAAAATTGGTCAGTTTTTTATACTTACGGTTGCTGGCTTTTGTTTTCTTTTGAGTAATATCATTTGATTAAGCCTTTTATAAATTCCACACAATGAAATATGTAAAAGTATGTATGATTTGTGCTGACGTCTTATCGGATAGAAATCAGTATTGGCCAATACTGAAGGCTGCAATATTGGTATCGTATCAGAAGTGAAAAAAGTCGCTGGAGTTTTTGACAATTAAAATTGCGCCCACATTTTCTAAGTTAGACACATCTGTTCAACGGTAGTTTCTGCTTCAGCCATCCCCCCCCCTCCCCCTGCTTCAGCCATCTCCCCCCTCCCCCTGCGCAGCGGCCGCAAACTCACTGATGCGCCTGCAGCCTCTCGGAGTTCCTGCTGCTCTAAACATTAAAATAATTATTTCATTTTCTGTTCCTCACTTCTGATTACCTTCAGTGGTGTCTGTTTGTTGCAACCACCAGGTACAAAAACTAACTTGTTTTTATTTGACTATTTTTCTGTCCTGTCTGTTTATTATCTTCCTGCATCTCCTCTCAATCCTAAAGAAAAACTGCTACCTGGCTTCATATATATTCACCTCATGAGTTACCTTTGAACTGCAGTTCTAAAAGATCTACCGACCACAAAAACAGTGGAGTGCGCGCTGCTCGCCGGCCACACCAGTGAGGTGCGTCACCAGAGGACAAAACAGGTGATGCGCCCCACTCCACAGCAGTGAAATGCATCAGGCACAAATCAGGCATCAGGACTGCATCTTGTCGGTCATTATCACGTGACAGTGACTAGTCGATGACAGGCATAAAAAGTCACTACAGAGCAGTGAAGTTAACTAGTCGACTAGTTCATACAACCCCTACACCACACACCCGTGTGTGCGACAACTAATGGGACTTTAACCCTTTCATGCATAATGGTCACTAAAGTGGACAGCTACTCAAATTTGTAGTTTTTATTTTTTGCTATTAAGCACAGCTGTTGAAGACTCTATTGCATTTGAGGGCCCCCACTCAAGATTTACCATATTTTCCGGACTATAAGTCGTATTTTTTTTTCATAGTCTGGCCGGTCCTGCGACTTATACAGTGGGGCAAAAAAGTATTTAGTCAGCCACCGATTGTGCAAGTTCTCCCACTTAAAAATGATGACAGAGGTCAGTAATTTACATCATAGGTACACTTCAACTGTGAGAGACAGAATGTGAAAAAAAATCCATGAATTCACATGGTAGGATTTTTAAAGAATTTATTTGTAAATAAGGGTGGAAAATAAGTATTTGGTCAATAACAAAAATTCAACTCAATACTTTGTAACATAACCTTTGTTGGCAATAACAGAGGTCAAACGATTACTATAGGTCTTTACCAGGTTTGCACACACAGTAGCTGGTATTTTGGCCCATTCCTCCATGCAGATCTTCTCGAGAGTAGTGATGTTTTGGGGCTGTCACCGAGCAACACAGACTTTCAACTCCCTCTACAGATTTCCTATGGGGTTGAGGTCTGGAGACTGGCTAGGCCACTCCAGGACTTTCAAATGCTTCTTACGGAGCCACTCCTTTGTTGCCTGGGTGGTGTATTTGGGATCATTGTGCTGTTGGAAGACCTAGCCACGTTTCATCTTCAAAGCTCTCACTGATGGAAGGAGGTTTTGGCTCAGAATCTCACGATACATGGCCCCATTCATTCTGTCCTTAACACGGATCAGTCATCCTGTCCTCTTAGCAGAAAAAAAGCCCCAAAGCATGATGTTCCCACCCCCATGCTTCACAGTAGGTATGGTATTCTTGGGATGCAACTCAGTATTCTTCTTCCTCCAAACACGAGAAGTTGAGTTTATACCAAAAAGTTCTACTTTGGTTTCATCTGACCACATGACATTCTCTCAATCCTCTGCTGTATCATCCATGTGCTCTCTGGCAAACTTCAGACGGGCCTGGACATGCACTGGCTTCAGCAGCGGAACACGTCTGGCACTGCAGGATTTGATTCCCTGCCGTTGTAATGTGTTACTGATGGTGACCTTTGTTACTGTGGTCCCAGCTCTCTGCAGGTCATTCACCAGGTCCCCCCGTGTGGTTCTGGGATTCTTGCTCACCGTTCTCATGATCATTTTGACCCCATGGGATGAGATTTTGCGTGGAGCCCCAGATCGAGGGAGATTATCAGTGGTCTTGTATGTCTTCCATTTTCTGATAATTGCTCCCACAGTTGATTTTTTTCACACCAAGCTGCTTGCCTATTGTAGATTCACTCTTCCCAGTCTGGTGCAGGTCTACAATTCTTTTCCTGGTGTCCTTCGAAAGCTCTTTGGTCTTGGCCATAGTGGAGTATGGAGTCTGACTGTTTGAGGCTGTGGACAGGTGTCTTTTATACAGATAATGAGTTCAAACAGGTGCCATTAATACAGGTAACGAGTGGAGGACAGAAAAGCTTCTTAAAGAAGACATTACAGGTCTGTGAGAGCCAGCGATTTTCCTTGTTTGAAGTGACCAAATACTTATTTTCCACCCTGATTTACAAATAAATTCTTTAAAAATCCTGCCATGTGAATTCATGGATTTTTTTTTCACATTCTGTCTCTCACAGTTGAAGTGTACCTATGATGCAAATTACTGACCTCTGTCATCATTTTAAGTGGGAGAACTTGCACAATCGGTGGCTGACTAAATACTTGTTTGCCCCACTGTACTCTAGAGCGACTTATATACCAAATTATGTAGGCTATACCGCGCTGCTGC